TTTATCCTCATCTGTGACTATTCTGAAACTGATACAAGATTGCTGCTATGGCCAAAGCTCAGACATACAGGTACCTAACTAAATGGTTTGGGTTGGTAACCTCACCAAAAAAGGAAGAGAAGACTAACCAAAAAAATTGAAAGTTTGAGTGATTGCTATAAATAAAATATGACCACAAAGCTAAATTATAGATACATAGATACACAGATTGTAAGATACAGGTCACAAAATTAAAGATTGCACGATGGTGACAACTGTGCTTGACACAATGCTAGACAAGTCCTCATAGACCATGACATAAATCTGTGAGGAAAGCTCTGAACTGCTAGTCTTGTCCTTACTCCAGCTTCAGAAATATATATTCATTCATTTATTCTCCAAAACTTGTGTTAAGTACATTACTTTATAAAATGGGAAAGTGCAGATTTTGGGGCATGCATCTGTAAGACAGTATTTTCTTAACTGATAGATTCCCTCAATTTTCTTGAGAAATGAACCCAAGAACATATGAGCAGCAGAACCCTAACAAAGCACTTATAAGTTTTAAGTATGACTAATATGACTATTTCCATAGCTAAGGGTATGATTGCTTTTTCCTTCATACTCACTACCCAGCATGCTACCACAGTATATGAAACACATGTGCTGTCCAGGGTAATTTACTGGTGGCATGTAGTTGGAACAATTTTGCAAGGGAAGAGTTAGTTTTGATGATACTTTTTGGATCACATACATATGTTTTGCTTGAACTTGATCCAACTCATTTTTCAATGGAAAAAAGTCAAGAACATGTAGATTAAACTTTGTAAATACACTTGTGTGTCTTGGGGTACATTATCATGAAATTTAAAAAAAAAAATCAAAATCAATTAAAGCTGCTAACTCCACTCATTCAAAATACTAAATATAGCTACCTGGCCCTTCAGTGGAATATTGTCTCTGTATTTGATCATAGGTGTCTGAATCCTAGATTTGATGACAAAAATTAATCTGCTATGCTAATAGGCCACAAGACTCAGCATGGTATAGTTTCAAATAACATAAGATGCTTTTTCTTCTATAGAAGATTCAGAGTGCACATTAAGTGTAATACTTCCATATTTGAACTAAACAAACGATAGGCATCAGTGAGCTTTATTTAACACCAAGGAGCTTGAAGAGACTACAATTACAACACATAATTTCTGATATATTATAGACAACTATAAACCACTGTTACTCTCCAAGCAATCCTGTCAGTCTAATTAGGCTGATAAGAACAGCAGTTGCATAAATGGGTATTTGATTTAGTAACTCTGTATTAACCATGTTTCCAAGATATATTTAAATTTTAGAGTTTTTAGGCTATTCACAAATGCCCTAAATACTTACTAATATTTCCCTCTTTAATTAGTATTTATGTCTTCCTGTATCAAGGGCAGGCCACCTAAAAAATTACTTCAGATATGCCAGCATACATTTAAAAAAAAAAATCATGTAATTTGTAAATAAATGAATGTAACTACTCCAGCTAAGAAAGGAGTACACAAGGCTTTAAAAACTCTGGGTCCTAGTCTCTCTCTACACGGATTTTTTTTTTTTTATATGACAGAGCTAGAGGAGAATGCTTTTGCTTCCCCCTTTTGGTAAGTTGAAGAGAACTCTAGGAGGAGACGAAGCTGAAAGATCTGGAGTATCCACATGTCAGAAACACAGATCACTGTTCTCTCAGAGCTCAATACTGTGGATCTGTTGTACAGGAGGACCTTCATGTAAGAGATTTTCAGACCCTGCTCATCACCTCACCCTTGCCCCTGCCCCAACAACCAAATCTAGAAGCATTTCCCAGGTGATGCACAATATTAATATCTATCTATCCATCAACAGATAATTCTTTCAGAAAATAATGTTAGAGTAGGTGCAAGACTCGCAAATTGCCCCAAAAATAAGAGTTTGTACAGTTGTTTTAGTCAATACAGTGGTGCAATCTAAAACACAGTATTTTGATACTTAAGCTTTATTGTAAAACTACAAGAAAAAAACCCCTATATTGCCTAAAAACTGATTAAGCAACAGCTTTAACTTATACTGTGATTTAACATTTTTAAAAATTTGAATCCTGACATATGACAGGAAGAAAACTTCTTAGTCTGCGGAAGTTCAGTTCTAATAATTGACAAGTGCAGCCAACTAAGTTATTATTCTTGCAACAGACCGGCAGGAAAGATAGTGTTACACTCCTGCTACAATTTTATGCATCTGCAAATTATAGTGAACCAGAGCTGGCTTGTTTCAAACCAGGAACGGATTTTGTCCCTATGTTTTCAATATCAGAAGCATTCAAGTTATCACAGCATGAAATAACAGGTTTTTAATACTGCAGTGGATTTTATGCTGTGGAAATTGCTACATGATGCAGTGGTGACATGTTTATATAGAACACTCATAGTAAGGATTACACAAATCATAAATGTCAGCAAAATGGAAAGCATCTGTTTAGGCTGTGGCATGCTAAGGATCTCTTGACTGCCAGTTTGTGATATGGTACACAGCCCAGTTGAAGTCACAACAGCAAAACAGTGACAGATTTTCATGTCACCGCCTACTGCAGAAGTTGGGCAGCCTTCAGATGGTAGCTGCTAACAGAAAAGCAAGCTCAGATCACCTGCATTCTGCATGGAGAGCAGGCAATCAATCTTATGTCAGATGTTTCAAGGGAACAGTACTAGAGCCCTATTTTCAGTTTTTATATAGAAGCACTGTGAGGCTTGATTAATGATCAAGAGATGAAAAAGAATTTCCCCTGCACCACAGTAAAAAACCCCCAAAGAAGCAAAACCCCAGAAAGTACAGAAACTTAACTACTGAAGCAATAATACATGCAAGAGCCATGTCTTTACAAAATCCATTTACAGCTTTTTGGACTAAACACCCTCCAAGAATAGTTAAAAGCCTACATAATGCTCCAGAGTATTAGCTTTGCTTTTGGACCACCAGTTTAGCTGACATGGAAAAGACTAGCTATATAAGACTTCACACATCTAGACACATTGTTCTATTTAAGTCAGCATTGACTTGCATCAAAAAAGTTGGCTTCAAATCAGCTGATTCAGATGATATCTTCTGAATTAAGTAGTATTACTTTCAACAGAAGTCCACCCACTATTGGTCAAGCCAACCTTTTCTGGGATTGTGGAGTGGAACACAAGGAAAAGAGTTCTGCCAACAGCAAAAGAAAAGCGGAAAAGCAAAGCAGGACATAGACACAGGATCTACAGGAAGTGTACATATGAACAGATCCTCAATTAAATATAAAGGGTGTTGACTGCTCTTTAAAAACTTAAGCCAAATTCTCAAGTTCCACAGTTCAGACCTAGCTATACCTTCTTGGAGTATTGGACTAATTGTTTTTTTAATTTTCAAGTTACTTCACACTAACATTTAGGGATGAATGGAACTCTTATGGAAACCCAATCAGCAATACTAGACTCTAAGTTTAGTTTTCTATTACTATAAGAGACTCAGAACACACAGAGTGCTTTAAAAAGGTTTCTGAAACTGTTATAAATAAGTGTATGACTTAGGCCTGAAGGAAGAACAGCTGGAGAATTTAGGATCCTCCCATATTTTAACTCATAGTGATGTCATAATTTAGAGCTCTTGGAACTGTTGATTTGGCATTTAAACCACATCAATAACAATCATTAAATCTAGTGCACATCTCTATTGGCTTAAGCACCAACTTAACTTTTATGAAGGGGAACGTGCAGAGCTCTTAATTATAAGAAGTCACATGAGCTTTCTCAGAACCTTTCAGATTGCCTTAAAATATACTTTCAGAGCTCAAGTGTTTCTAAACATACCATCTCATATGCACTGAAGTTTAAGCACTCTCTCTGCAAGCTTTACAATACATTGGAAAGAGACTGCTCTGCCATTAAGTGTTTCACAGTGCAGATTTGAAGGGGCTCCTTTAGGGTTATGAAACAGCATTTCACTTCCACATTAAGAAAGTTCAGTTTAGGAGGGCCTTCTAAGTTTTGAAGATGCAGCTCTGTACAAAATTTCATTATGAACAGGTAAGACCAGTAAAAAAAGGTTTAAGTTGAAATATATTTCAGATTGCTTAATCCCTTCATTGTTATGCAAGTGTATTTCATAACCTTATTTGAAGAATCAAAGAGCAGTTTTAATACTAACAATGGTCTCAGTCTGACAGCTAATGCTAACCCAAGTGTGCATCATGCCCTCCTTCAACACTCCAATTTATGTAACGCCACACCACTGTGGGTTTAAAAATAAACCACACAGGAAAACAAGATTTAGATGGACAAAAAGAGTAAGATCACATAGCTTGTTCTCCTCGATTAGCATCTGTTAGCTATGGAGACAATACCATCCCAGAAACCATATTAAAGATTTTCTTACTTCTACAGGCAGCCCTCAGAGAAAGCTATGAGGACAAATACGCAGGATTCCTGAAAAAGTGTTCTTGGCTTGATTTCTTGGGAAATCTTTTTCGCTTTTCCTCCCAGCCTTCAAAAGCAACAATTTGCCTCCAAGGGAATTCAAACAACGTTTCCAGCAAAAGTTTTAAACATTTTTTCCAGAAATGTGCAAGCTTGCTATTGCAGCCGTCATTAAAACAGCACCCTAAAGCTGCTAGTGTACTGGCAGAAGAGTATGTGAGGAAGGCTGAGAAGCATTCGTTAACAGTAATAACCTTTAAGCAGATTCAGAGGTTATGCTTATAAAGGTTTTCATATCCAGAGCTACGGAAATGGGCATAAGACTTAGAACTCCGGATTCTGGGAGGATATGGTTGATTTAAAACTATTTGTTAGCAATCTTAATACCATGATTCCTGTTAAACAGAAAAGTTAGTTCACAATAAGAAATCCCCAAAGCAATGAGCTTGCAAATGAAAAGGAGAAAGTGCAGATCTCAAGAAGTTAAGGAACAGCAGTTCATTTCCCAAAATTAACTGCCCAAAAGGGCAGCAGAAAGGAGTTTATAGTTACCCAGAAGTGCGCGTGGCAGTTGACCATCATGGTCCTCTCAATAAGCTCATCAGGACACTCCAGAAGATGGTGCCCGGAGACCACACCAGCATTGTTAACCAGGACAGACACCTCGCCAACCTCCTTGCGGACCCTCTCAGCTATCGAGTAGACATTCTCTCTTTTGCCCACATCACAGGTGTAGGTGTAAACCTGCAAGTTGCAATGGGGCAGCGCATCTTTCTCTCCATCACCAGCTATTAAAGAACACAGACAAGAGAACAGAAGGGGTGGGGGAGCAATAAAGTTCTTACTCGCTTTTTGACATTCAAACAAGTAGTCAAGTGTAAATAGCAAATACAATCCCAAACTAGCAAAACTTCCATTTACTTCGGTGTCAGCGCAGTACACAAGAACTCGGTTATTTACTACCGCTGTCAAAGTGCTTTAAGAAAAGCCACAGGTTTTAGAGCCGCCGCTGGAGCCCAAGGCTGCGCGAAAAAGGTCTGCGCTCAGCGCTGCGGGAACGGGGCCGGCTCTGCCTGGCAGCGGCGAAGCCGCGGGAGTTCGACACCCCCACGCCCGCGGCGGTCTCCGGCCCGGAACAGTCGCTCTCACGGCCCGCCGCTTGTTGAGCGGCCCCAGGTGCCCGGGCAGGTGAGGGGCGAGGGGCAGCGCCCGGAGCCCGCCCCAGCAGCGCGGCGCTTACCTCTGGGGGCGGCGGTGGCCGCCTCCTCGGCCATCTCCCGGTAGATGTGCCGCACCATGCCCGCCGTCTCCTCGTTGCTCTGCGTGTTGATGTCCCACAGCACCAGCAGCGCCCGGCGCCGGGCAAACTCCAGGGCGAAGAGGCGGCCCAGGCCGCTGCCCGCCCCGGTGATCAGGCACACACCTGCCCCGCACGCTCCTTCTCCTTGGGCCGCACTAGCCAACTTGGGCCGCGGCCAGGCTACGAACGCCCACAGCACTCGGAAGAGTCACCACGAGAAAACTCCAGCAGGATGTTCATGCTGCCCGGAGCGCGGGGGATCCCGCGGGGCCGGCGGCGCGGAGCCCTCCTCGCCCCCGGCTCCCACCTGGGGCCGCCGCTGCCCGAGGACCGCCCCTGAGGGCGCGAGGGAGGCTCCGCTCCCGGGGTCCCGCCGCCGAGCTCCCCCTTCTTCCGAGCCTCGCACCCTGCATGCCCCGCCTCAGTCACACCACGCCGAGGAAGGAGGCCCGGACGCGGCTCTGCCCCACCCGCTGCCTGCTGGCTGGCCGCCGCCTTGTCCCGTCCCGCCCGCGGCCCCGCTACTGCAGTACACATCTTCGCTCGCTCGGCCCTCTATATAGAGCGGACAGGCGGCCGAGCCCCGCCCCTGGCTGGGCCCCATTCCCGCCCGCATTCCCGGGACCCTCCGCCCCCGCCACGCCCCCTTCCCCGCCAACGAGGGGAAGGTCCCCGCCGGAACGGTGAGTGGGAGCGCTGGAGCTTACGGCGGCTCGGGGCGGGAATCCCGGGCGGCTCCCCCCGCCCGGGCCTGAGACTACATGGTCCCGGGGTGCGCGGCGCCCGCTCGCAGGCGCGCCCATTCTCGGGGTGGCCAGGGCGGACCGGGCAGCGGCGCAAGCTGCCGCCGCAAGCGGGACCGGGGGGAGCACGAACGGAGCTTTGAAGGTACCGTGCTCGGGGCAGCGGCGAGTGGCCGGGAGCCGCCGGGATCCCCGCAGGATGCCCGGGACACGCGGGCCTCGGGTTTCTCTGCTGAACAAAACCCCGATGTTTTTTCGGTCTGTCAGCCAGCTTTAGGGCCACTGGTATCTCACTAGCCACAGACTGAAGTGGGAGCTCACAGGTGCCAGCACACGGAACGTGGTTTTTTTTCTGTGCGACAACAGCGGCCTCTCCCTACAGATGGGCACCCTGCGGCCCCTCGGCACCCGAGCATCCCGCTCCAGGGCATCTGCCAGCTCCAGAGGATGAGGAGCAGAGCGTGCCCTTGCAATTTCCCACACGTGGACCAGCAGGACTTATCCCACTGTCTCTGCCCGCCAGCAGCCGCGTCCCTTTCTTCCTACGGTGCCCTTTTGTTCCCTGCGCAGCCACCAGTTCTCAGAAAAGTTGTTGGAGCTTTATATTTGTGACTGTTGCCTCTCGGATTTAGCAGAAATTCGAGTTCAAAAGTTTTGGAAAAATGTGCAGACAACCTCTTCCTTAGTAGATATTGCAGGTGTTTTAGTTCATATTTGCGTGATTTTAATCACCCCCTTTTATAATATTTCTAATGAGATCAAGTGATATTAGCACAAAATACTGCTATTTTAAAAAATCAGCATCGATACAGCTGTAACTAGAATCCCGAGTATTCTCAATAACGTTCTCGGGTGTTAGTGCCACCCGGCACCTCTGCGTGTTGTCAACAGACAACAAACAAAAACAGCAAACGCAGAGTTCGGCATTCCTTATTCCCAGCCCTGCTGCCCACACTTCTTTTATACCGGACAGTTCTTTGCTGCTCAGAGTTCCAATGACTTCCCTTCTTCCCGTACGTGTGTAATGATGTGCCGGCGCCTCCGTAGGGGATTTTAGGAGTACAGGTAGGATCAGAATAGGATCAGACCTACGAGCCACAGCCTTAAGCAGCCTTACAAGCCGCAGCGCTGTGCTGGGCAGCGCTGTTTCTCGAGCCGCCTCCCTTCTCTACCTGTGCAGTTACTAATTCCCTATGGCGAGCCCAAAAGATGCCCAACCTAATGAAAGCACATCCCGGCACAAACGGAGCCCCGCAGTTCCCATTTCCCCGCGCATCCCGGCGAACGATCCTGCCCGCGCAGTGGGCGGCACGGCCGAGAGCCGAGCTCCAGCCGCAGGGACGGGAACATCTCCGGCATCCCCGGGCTCTCCTGCGGAAAGCGCTCCGGTTCCGGAGCTGGGCAGGGCGCTCCGCTTCCCTCTCCCTCCCGGTTTCCGGGGGTATGCTGCCGGGGCCAGGAGGGAGTGGAATTTCCCCGCTCTCAGCCTCATCCCCGCCTCAGTGCCGAGCGCGGGCGGGAGGTAGCGTACCGTAGGCTTTAAGCACAGGGTTTAAGCCTGGAATAGGGGAAATCCTGCCTGATGCGAGACGCCTTGAGAGCCCCGCCACTGCAGAACTCGTTCCCAGCCTCCTGCAGGGAAGGCTGGGTCTGGCGAAAGGACGGCTCCCCCCGGCCTGGGACACAGTCCCCGGGACACAGCCAGTCCCAGGATACGGCCAGTCCCGGGACACGGCCGGTTCTCCGGGACACGGCCGGTTCTCCGGGACACGGCCAGTCCCAGGACACATTCAGTCCCAGGTTATGGCCAGTCCCTGGACACGCCCGGCTCCAGCCCCGCCAGACGGGGACACTTTTACCTCAGGCACTCTTCGACCACCCCATCGCCCGCCCTCCGGTCAGGCACAACGGCGGACGCCCGAGCCCGGGGTCCTGGCGGCGCGCAAGGCCCCGCCTGCGCGGACGAATGGGCTAAGAGCTCGCCGCGCACGCGCACGCCCCTCTCTTCCGGCGCTGCGATGGCGGACAAGGAGTGAGTGCCCTCCCTCCTGCTCCATCCACCGCCATCCGGGCCCATCCGCCGCACTGCGCTGCCTGGCCACTGCCCCGCCGCCCCCGGGCCGCGGGGCCTCCGCCGCGGCCGGCAGCGGCGGAAGGGGAGGGTCCGGCGTGGCGGAGATAGAGCCGCCCGGCCCGACTCTGCTGCGGCCGCCGGCCCTCGGCGGGGCGGAGAGGAGCGGGCCCCGGGCGGGCCGAGGGTGCAGGCTGGGCGACAGGGTCCTCCGGGACGAGCGGGAGCGCGGTCAGGGGTGTGCTAAGGCGGGAGCAGGGAGGGATCGCGCTGGAGCGGGAGCTCGCCCGGGTGATTGCGGCTGTGTAAAGTCTGCGCTGGCGAGTTTTGCCGCGTCTGAGACTTTAAAATCTCTGGGATAAGAGGCAGCAGGCAGAAACTGATGCACAGGAAGTTCCTCAATACGAGGAAGAACTTCTTTACTATGTGGGTGACTGATCATTGGAACAGGTTGCCCAGAGATGTTGTGGAATCTCCCTCACTGGGGATATTAAGAACCATCTGGACACAATCCTGTGCAGTGTGCTCTGGGAGCAGAGCAGGGAGATTGGACCAGAGGACCCACTGTGGTCCCTTCCAACCTGACCCATCCTGTGATTCCCTGAATAGCCAAACAACTTTAAATTGCTATGAAATAAATTTCAGAGTGCTGCCAAATTTGCTTGTCCTTTTCAAGCACTTGTTGAAATGTTTATTAAACAGAAATTCTCTTTGAACCAGTCTTTGTTTTATTACAAATTGCGCTATAACAAGGTAAGGAAAAAAACTTGCCACTGGAGTGGTGTTGGTCTGTGCAGTCATCTATCCACGAAGGTTGTGTGCAGCTCAGCAGTTTTTCTGTCAGGGTTCCTTGTCTTGAAAGGGGAACTGTGTAGGTTCTGAACCCAGGAAATCACCTAGTTCAGTCCCAGGGAAATGTCCTGGGACACTGCTCTGGGCCTGGGAACAGTGGGAACAAGGAAGACGCCGCAGTGAAGTGTCTGGAGGCAGTGAGGCTTGTGCACACCTTGTGTTAAAGAGACAGCATTGGTGTTTGTTGCATGGAACAGTGTTCTTTGGGTTTTTTCATCTTGGCTAAAAGAGGTGGTTTTTGTTTCTGTTTCCTCTTAGAGCAAAGAAGGTGCCCTCTGTGCCCGAGAGCCTGCTGAAGAAGCGGCAGGCTTACGCGGCCTTGAAAGCCAAACGGCAGAAGAAGATTTTGGCTATAAAAAAGGTAAATATTCGTTGATCCCTTGACTTAGATTGTTTGTCTGTTACAGTATCAGTTGCTGCTACTGCTGATGTGATCCAATACATGGTATTTAGGACAAGCATGTTGATATTTTCTTCAAGATTTGGACTAAAATATGCTTTTTTTGGTTGATAACAGACCAGTTTCAGGCAGTCAAGGTTCAAGTGTACAGTTGTCTGTCACACTGAAGTTAGTCTTGTACAAGGCAAGAGGTTACAGCCTTTGTGAGGGTGAGCTTGATGCATGATCATAGAATCACGGAATGTTAAGGGGTTGGAAGGGACCTTAAAGATCATCTAGTCCCAATCCCTTGCCATGGGCAGGGACACCTCCCTCTAGACCAGGTTGCTCAGAGCTCCATCTAGCCTGGCCTTGAACACTTCCAGGGATGGGGCATCTACAAACTCCTTGGGCAGTGTCTCACCACTCTCACAGTAAAGAATTTCTTCATAATATCTAACCTGTATTTCCTCTCTTTTAGTTTGTACTCATTACTCCTTGTCCTGTTCCTACAGTTCCTGAATGAAGGATTGGGAATGATAACAGTGTTCAAGGCAGAGTAGCACTGCTGTGTAACAGCCTACCAGGCTCTTTAGAGCATCAGTGAGGGTTGTTCTGAGCTGTGAGATACTTTAACCGTGTTGTTTGTAGGAAGTTCTAGAATGTGGCACATTATTTGAAGGTGATTTTATGTGTTTAAAAGCTTTATGTAACCCTAAGCAATTCCCAATTTATTGCAGTACCGTAAGGCACAGAGAAAACTCATCTATGCCAGAGCCCAGGCTTACCACAAGGAGTACAGGCACATGTACCGGCAGGAGATCCGCATGGCCAGGATGGCCCGGAAAGCTGGCAACTACTATGTCCCAGCCGAGCCAAAACTGGCATTTGTGATCAGGATAAGAGGGTAAGGCTGAGTACAGGTGTAAGCAATTTTATGTTCAAAAGCACTGGAGTTAACTTTCCTGTTACCTGTGTGTTTTGAAGGCTTATGTATGTAAATAGGATCAAGCCTTCCACCAGTGGCTTGGGCAGTGGGTGGCAATATGTTGTACATGCACCAGAGGTGTTTGTAATTAAGTGTCAAATCATTTTGCTGGCTGTCTGTTGTCTTTAGGAATCCCTGATTTTTAAGAAGACAATACTGCAAATACGTGCAGACCGTTGTTCTATCTCACCTTGAGCTTGATAAAAT